ACATTGACAGAGAACTTCCAGAGGTTCAAGCCAGATTCAGAAGAGGAGGTGGAATAAGGGATATCATTGCTGATGTCTGATGGATCTTGGCTAAAAGCAGAGAATATCAGAAAGATGTTTACCTGTGCTTTATTGACTGCACAAAGGCTTTCGATTGGGTGGATCATGACAAGACATGGACAACATTGTGAAGTATGAGTATTCTGGAACACTTAATTGTGCTCATGAAGAATCTGTCCTGGACCAATAATCAGTTGTTCAAACAGACATGGGGATACTGAATGGTTTAAAATTAAGAAAGGTGTGCAACAAGGTTATATTCTTTCACCATACTTATTCAGCATGTATGCTGAGCAAATAATCCTAGAAGCTGGGTTCTATGAAGAAAAATGTGGCATAAGGATTGAAGGAAGACTCATTAACAACCTGCGGTATGCAAATGATACAATCTTACTTGCTGAAAGTGCAAAGGTCTTAAAATACTTACTGATGAAGACCAAAGACCACAGTCTTCATTATAGATTGTATTTCAATGTAAAGAAAACAAAAATCCTCACCAATAAACAACAATCTTATCAACAGAGAAAAGATTGAAGTTGTCAAGGACTTCATTCTTACTGAATCAACTATCAACACTCAAGGAAACAGCAGTCAAGAAATCAAATGACATAATGCATTAGGCAAATCTGCTGCATAAGACCTCTTTAAAGTGTTGAAGAGCAAAGCTGTCAGCTTGAGGACTAAGGTGCACCTGACTCAAGCTGTGGTATTTTCAGTAATCTTATATGCAAGCTGGACACTGAATAAGGAAGACTGTAGAAGAATTGATGCTTTTGACTTATGGTGTTGGAAGAGAATATTGAAAGTGCCATGGGCTGCCAAAAGAACTAACAGATCTGTGTTGGAAGAAGTGCAGCCAGAGTGTTCCTTGGAGGCTTCAACTGTGTGGATCATGACGAACTATGGAGAGCATTGGGAAGAATGTATATTCCTGAACACTTAATTGTGCTCACATGGAACCTGTATAAAGACCAAGAGGCAATCATTTGAACAGAACAAGGAACTACTGAATGGTTTAGTATCAGGAAATGTATGAATCAGAGCTCTAGGTTTTGACCTTAATTATGCAGTCTGTATGGTGAGCAATTAATTGGAGAAACTGGATTATATGAAGTAGAACATGGCATCAGGATTGACAGAAGATTCATTGATCACCTGTGATGTGCAAATGATACAACCTTACTTGCAGGAAGCAAGGAGGACATACAGTCCATAGTAATGAAGATCACAGACCACAGCCTTCAGTATGGATTGCACTTCAAAGTAAAGAAAACAAAAATCCTCAGTAAAGGGCCAATAAGTAACACCATGATAAATGGAGAAAAGATGGAAGTATCAAAGACTTCATTTGCTTGGATCCACAATTAACACTCCCCCTGTTATCAGCACACAGCCTCTCTCCCTCTCTGGGTCTAGAGTCCCCAGCCGCTCCATCTCTCCACGTCATTGTCTCTGCCTCCATCTCTGGCGTCACTGCTTCTCTGGGTAGGGTCCTGCTCTTCTCCGTTGATGGTCCGAGGGACCTCCGCTTCTGGACTGCAAAGTTAATAACTCCCCTCCTTTTGTTACAAAATGTCTACCTTTACATTTCCAACCCTCATAGTCAGTCCTGATAACAATTATTCACTATTGTTCTATAAGAATGCTATCCCCATCTCTTTTCATCAGCCCCGCCCAGACAGATTGGATCCTACTCAGTGGAGATTCTACCTTCCTCCATACCCTCTGGATCTAGGCTACCTCTTGAAAGCTTGTAAGCCAGTTCAAAGGACATCTTTCATTAAACGAATCTGCTAGACAAGACCTCTTTACAGTGCTCTAGAGCATAAGCCAAGGTATTTTCAGTAGCCGCATATGCATGTGAAAGTTGGACAACGAATCAAGAAGACTGTAGAAGAATTCATGCATTTGAATTACAGTGTTGTAGAAGAATAAAGTACCATGGACCACCAGAAGAACAAATAAATCTGTATTGAAAAAAGTACAGCCAGAGGCTCCTTAGAAGCTGGGATGGCAAGATTTCATCTCTCCTACTTCAGGCATGTTATCAGGAGGGTCCCATTCCTGGAGAATGACACCATGTTTGGTAAAATGGAGAGTCAGTGAAAATGAAGACCTCCTACCCCCAATGAAATGGATTGACACAGTGACAACAACAATGGGCTTTGGCATAACAACAATTGTGAGGATGGAGCAGCACTGTACAGTGTTTTGTCCTGTTGTACACAGGGTCCCTATGTGTCTTTACAAGAGATGCTTACTTACATCAAGGGAGGAGTCCTAGTGTGATGCTGTCTGATAACCACAAGGTCAGTGGTTCAAACCCACCAGCCATTCCTTGGAAACGCTATACTTGGTTGCATGGGTCAGAACCAAATCATATATATACAGCCCTGGTGTGGCACTATAGGTTATGCACTGGACTGTTAACTGCAAGGTCAGTGCCTCCAATCCAGTAGGCGGCTACTCTGCAGGAGAAAACTGATGCTTTGTGCTCCTGTAAAGATTTACAGTTTCAGAACCTTACACAGGGTCACTATGAGTCAGCATCCACTCAATACCAGCGGGTTCCATTTGATTAGGGTGTTCTGATTCATTGTAAAATGTAGATATATAAGGGGGTTCTGTTTGGCATACTCAAGCAATTTGCATGTTAAAATATAAGCTATTCTGAAGCAAGCAGAGTTTATTTGCATATTGGTTGTGCTCTTGTAACAGGCTTTAATAAGTTTAGTTTCTGTTGGGAGCCATCTGGGCATCTTGTGGCTAATCAGTGTTTGTGGAGAAGAACATTTTCCTCTTACAAGTAGAGAACCTTTCTTTTTCTATAGTTAGATGATGTACCTCAAACTTGCAGTAGGCATTTTCTTTCCACCACCCTTCTCCTTGGTCTCCCTGGATAGTCCCAGAAGAGAAGGTGGGGAATGGTTCATCCAATGGGCCCTATTGTGAATTTACTAGGTAAACCAACAACTGAAAGTACAATTTATCAGGGTCAGTGTTCTATTAACTGATTTATCTGGTTACACAGAAGTACTGAGAGAAAAACAAATGACAGCAAACTTTCCATTTGATGTTTCTTTTCAGAAGGATGCCTTACAGTCTGATCTCATTGTCTGCTCAGTGGTTGCTGTCCTCTCGTTTGCAATCAGTGCCAGCACTGTGTTCCTGTCATTGCGCGTAGGTATCCATTCAACATCATACTCTTCCTGTGACCACATCTTCTCCGCAAACAGAACTGATGGTGGGGCTGCAGGGTATTGACAAGGGCAGATGAACCAGAGCAAGAAAACAAAAGGCCAGTTGGCAGATTTCAGGAATAGATCCTCTGTGTTAAAAGTTAAGTCCAAGATGCTATTTCATCTACAGTTCAGGCTTGGTTCCGTTGTTTAACCCTTATTGTCGTCCCCAATCAGGGAGTTGTTTGAGTTGTAAGAGTAAGAACATATCTTTGTGGAATCCACTGTCCTGCAGGCTAATAGCAATGAGATGGACTGAAGGTATAGTAGTAACTCAAAGAGAAAAAACTGGTCTTCTAGGGAGGTACCGTATCAGGAATGAGAAGGGGCACCAAAGAACCCAAAAGATTGTTGGAACACAATTTTTAGTTAGAAAAACAAAAGTGGAGATCTCCAGATGTTATTTCTGGCTTACAGTAGTTAGACAGTTGCTGTCCCTCTCTCTTGCTCTCTCAAAGAACTGTAGCATTATTGCAAACACTATTATTGAGAAAGCCAATTTGTACATGAAGTAAGGAGACTTTGCCCTCTCTCCCTACAGCCATTCCTCAGCATCGTGCTTTTCTCCCTGGCTGGCACTGTCGGGTTCGTGGTACATTACATCCTCCCTCAGCTCCGCAAGCAGCATCCATGGATGTGGATTTCACATCCCGTTCTCAAAAACAGAGAGTATCAGCAACGCGAAGTGACCGGTTAGTAATAGTGCCCTCTTAAGTATCATGATAAGAAAGTATAGGGAAGGTGTACTTAAAAACTGACACAGGATACTTTAGAGTATGTAAAGTTATTGTCAGATATTCCAGTCAACCCAAACAAGAGAGTTGACGAAGAGAGACTGTTGTTGTTGTTAGGTGCCATCAAGTCAGTACCGACTCATAGTGACCCTGTGCACAACACAACAATGCACTGCCCAGTCCTGGGACAACCTCACAATCATTGCTACGTCTTTTAACCCATCACTGCTGCCACTGTGCTAGTCTGTCTCTTTAGGGTTCTTCCTATTTTTCTTTGACTTTATCAAACATGATGTCCTTCTCCAGGGACGGTTCCCTCTTGACAATATGTTCGATATCTGAGAGGCGAAGTCTGGCCATTCTGGCTTTCAGAAAACATTCTGGTTGTACTTCTTCCAACACTGACTGGTTTGTTTTATATAAATATTAGTTGGTTGTTAGCATGTTAGAAAAAAATAATCTATAGCATTCAAACCTGAACATTATGCAATTCCAGCTTATGTTGACTTGGAACCAAGAAGGACATAATATAGCCATCTTCCATGCTCCATAAAATGGTGGAGGTATTGTTAAGGTGAAGAGTTAACTTTCAGAACCCTTGCACTCTTAAACTTGCTTTATTAGGTTGAGGAGCAGCTGGCCTGTCTCTGGCCATGATCACGTACTAGCCTGGAAATAATGCTAGTTTCCGAGGTTCTACGTAAGAGACCTCTCAGGACTTTCCCTGAATAGATGGGGGAATACTGGTACATCACAGTTACCAATCGCAGTTGATCACTAAGCTGCCTATTGCTGCTAATTCTGCATCCAGCTGTTCTGCCCCTAGTAACTGCTGAGATGTTGAAATGGGTTATCCAGTTGTCCCTGTGTCCTAGAACAGGACAAAGGGGACAAGCTAAGGTTTGCTGATTCATAGAAAAGCACTGCACTCAGACAGCTTTGACATCAGCAAGTGCAGTAGAGGAAAGGGAAGAAAAAAATTTAAAAGCAGCAGCAGATGAGCTTTTGAAGATGCGGTGCTATAGGATCAGCACTGGATTGCTAACGGCAAGATTGGCAGTTCAAACCCACCAGTTGCTCCTTGGAAACCCTATACAGGATCACCATCAGTCGGAACTGACTCCACAGCACTAATTAGCAGCAGCAGCAGCCAATATAGAGAACATGTCTTCAAAAAACATCTCTGGGTAAGTAAAAGCAACTGCCTTCATTAGAAACAGCCATTGTGAAGAGTTCCAAAGGGAGAAGTTACGGGTTGTTTAGTGGAGAAATTGAGTGTGGTAAGCCTATTGCCAATTCTTGCTGCTCTTGGTGAAGCCGATTCATGATGACCCATGTGTGTCAGAGTAAGTACTATTCTGAAAGTTTGCAATGGTGGATGTTTCTAAAGTAGATTACCAGGCATCTCTCTTCAGAAGTGATCTCGGTAGACTCGAAGCTCCGTCCTTCCAGGTGATAACTGAACAGTAGCTGTTTGCACAATCCAGGGACTCCTTGATTGCAGGGTTGTTGTTGTTAAGTGCGATCAGGTTGATTCTGACTCATAGCAACCCTGTATAGGGTTTCCAAGGAGCCACTTGTGAGTTTGAACCACCGACCTTGTGGTTCAAACTGATCTTGCTGTCTAGTGCTTACCCTACCACCAGGATGTAGAAATGGCATGTGGGTTTGGCCAATCAGATTGCGCTTCCCACTGAAACCTATTCTTCTCACCCACAAAATGAGGAGCTACTTTAAGGATCCAACCACATAAGCATGTTAAAGACATTCTGTCCAATTTAGAGTGCCATTTACATGCAAATTATCATTTGTATTATAAAACAAACGAACAAAGGTAAGTTGATTTAAATTGGCTCAATTTATTATAGTTTCTGCATTTTCAGTCCATTTGTAGAGGAATGTCAGTATTCCAACAAGCGTCTGCTTTAAAATGGGTAGAGGAACCTGACAATAAAGACAATAACAAAAAGACACCAGAACTTCTGCTGTGTTGAGGACATATTTGCCTTTGAGTCTTTAAACCTTTAGGAAGATTGCCTAGGTTTTAGAGAAATGAGTGGGGGTGTTTTAAGACTTATTAGTTTGGCATAATTGGTAAGAAGTTGGTGGAGACTTGATGCTAGGATTTTGACTCAGGAAACTATATATTCAAGGACCCCCATATATGTATATGCCCATAACCATAACATCCTATATGCTTATACATACTAGCCTGGTAGTTACCTATGCCTTGAGATGAGGAGAGAGAATTTATCAGTGTGAGGGTAAGGATCATGACACACATTAAGTTGGGGCTCCCCTTCCTGTGGCAGTCCAGAGTATGGAATTCAACATTGGAAGGTAACAGTAGGTAAATTTATATCGGTGACTGTATGTGTGGTTGTTTTTTCTCCCCTGAATGTAACCCAAGGCCAACGAGTCAATTCCTACTCAAGATGACCCCATGCATGTCAGAGTAGAACTGTGTTCCAAAGGGTTTTAATGGTTGAGTTTTTTGGAAGTAGATCTCAGACTTTTCCTCACAGACACCTCAGAGAGGTCTTGAACCACCAAGCTTTTGGTTAGCAGACGAACACATTGGTTGTTTGCACCACCGAGGGACTCCACTGACTATAATTGTGCCCAGACTACATTAGAATCATTTAGATACCTTAACCCAGTCGCTGGAGAAGGATATCATGTTTGGTAGGGTGGAGGGTCAGAGAAAAAGAGGAAGACCCCTAGCGAGATGGATTGGCCAAGTGGCAGCATCAATGGGCTCAAGTGTGGCAACGATAGTGAGGTTGGCCCAAGATTGGGCAGTGTTTTGTTTTGCTGTGCATAAGGTCACGATGAGGCGGTACTAACTCAATGGCACCTAACACCAACAACAACAACTCTGTATGACCTATTTAGTATAAGGCTAAAGAAAGCCGCAAGGTCAGCAGTTCGAAACTACCAGAAGTTCCGTGGGAGAAAGATGAGGTGTTCTGCTCCTGTAAAGATTTACAGCCTCGGAAACCCTGTGCAGGGTCGCTATGAGTCAGAACCGACTCCACGGCACTTAACAACAACAACAAAGAAAAATAAAATGAGTGTGTGGGCATATCTATCCTTTGGTCTTTGAGGGGAGAGTAGGCGGCCCTGGTTCTCTGTGTATCTCGTAGAATACACAGGCGCCAGCAGAGGTTGTGTGGGTGTTTCCCACTTGCCTGTGTTAGCTGTCTATAAGCATGCTGATCTCTAGCCAATTGCGACACACTTGACAAATTAAGAACATAATGCAAAACAGACCACATTTCAAAATCATATGTGTTGGAAGGAAAAACCAAATTAAAAAAACACAAACAAAAACAATTAAAATATGCTTGTGTTAAGTTATTTATGATCTAGTATCCATTTTGGTATCATCTATGTCCTGGGCTTCTTTGTGTCCTCTACCTGATGTTCTGCATTTTCAGTATTTCACTCTCCATTTCATCCAGCAGCAACAAAAGAGGCACAGGAAACTCAAGCCAGTCAAGTACCTTTTCATGTGACAGATGTACTACAGAGTTCCTGCTCACAGAAACGTTGTAACTGGAGATGAGCTTGGCTCAGAGTAGGAACAGCAGGTCTGTAGCATGCGTGTGACTTGAAACTTCTGACTCCTCGGCAGACATCTCTAAGTGAGAAGCAACCAGTTAACCAGTTGTCAGTGAGTTGATTTTGACTCCTGGTGACCTCGTGGGTATCAGAGTAGAACTGCACTCCATAAGGTTTTCAGTGGCCGATTGATTGAAAGCAGATCACCAGACCTTTCTTCATAGGTTCCTGTGAGGAGACTGGAACCACCACTTTCAGTTAGTAGCCAAGCTTATTAATTATTTACCCCACTCAGGGACTCCTGCTAATGGTGGTTGTTGTTGGAACCCTAACACTGGGCCAGCAGCACACATTGCCCATCCATGGAATTGATATATGAAATGCGATGGAGCATATTTGGAATTGCAGGATTGTAATGCGCATAAATTTATTCCATGAGTTTATGCGGGAGGAAACTGAAGCCCAAAGAACTTGTGTCACACTGAGTTTGTGGCCAACAAGCGACTAGAATCCCCAGCGTCTCTCTCATGTTGGTCTCATGTTATTTTGACTACTTTGGCTGGTCTTGGTCTGCATTATGGCCGTGCATAATGACTGTGACTCTGAGACTGTTTTTCCAGTCTCTGTTACTCAGAAAAGTCACATCACTGTGGCGGGTCATGCTAAGTCGCAAATGCCTGTCCGAATGCTACTAACTACAGCATCTGAAACGGACTCACTATAATTGGTGGTTCAAGCTCACCAGTCGCTCCTCGGAACCGTGTTATAGGGTTGCTATGGGTTGGATCTAACTCGACGGCACTTAACAACAACAACAACAGGCTCTGGGCATACTTGCTATTTCGTAAATAAATACACTACACTCTCTCTGTTTCCTCTCCTTGTCTGAAATGTTTGTTTTCAAGTTTCACCAGGCTCACACCTACTTTAAATCCTTTAGGATTCTGTTGAATACTCGATTCCTCCAGAAGTTCTTCATTGGCCATGTAGGGTGGACCTGAGTCCTGGCTGCTCCTGAACCCTCCCTTCCCAGAGCTCTCACCACTCTCATAATGACCAGTCTCTGAGGTGGCCTGTAGGTCTGTACCAGCTTGCTCACAGTGGTACACAGTGCTTACATGGGGACCTGGAACGCATTAGATTGTTTTGCTAATCTAAATGTAACTAGGACTCCTAGTATGGGCTGTGGGTTAATGTGCTGTACTGCAAAGTCAGTTTGGACTGCAAGGTCAGCGGTTCAAGCTCGCCAGCTGCTCCTTGGAAACCCTATATAGCATTACTATGGGTTGGAACCGACTCCATGGCATTTAACAACAACAATAACAACAAAGGTAACGGAAATGTTAACCCTGAATCCCATGGAACAAATTCTGAATTTGATCCATGTATTTTCT